TTGAAATTGTATGGAGACCAGACACAGTGACTCATGCCTACCATCCTTGATACTCAGGAGGCAGACATCAGAAGGATTGGAGTTGGAGACCAGGCCAGGCAGAGTTCACAAGACCCTCATATCAACCTGTAAGAACTTGGAATAATGGCATATACCTTTCATTCCAACTACATCAGAAGGGTAAACAGGAGAATCGCAATTCAAGCCCCAGGGAATAAATTAAGACTCTTAATTAGAAAAAATAACTGAAAGCAAAAAGGGCTGGGGGCATGGCTCAAGTGGTAGATCACTTGTCTTGCAAACCCAAGGCCCTAAGTTCAAACTTACGGAAGCAACACCAAGTGGCAGTCTTGGGCGAGAAAGTTTTTTTGTTTTGTTTTGGTGCCAGAGCTTGAACTCAGTGTCTTAGTCTTACTAGGCAGGCACTGTACCACTTAAGTCACTCCACCAGCCCAAGAAAGTTTGGGTTTTTTTTTTGGAGGGGGGGCAAAGATGGTAGTAGGAGCTTCTGGTTGTTCTGGGTTCTTAGTATGAGAGCTGCCAAATAGTTCTGGCAGTCTAATTTTTCCTGGAGAAGTCCCTTTCCTATATATGGTTGAGAATGTTTTCTGGCTTTGTGTCTTCTAAATTTACTCTTTAACTGTAAACAGAGCTTCTGTAAGCTCCTACTAGTCTTTAAATTACTTTTCTTTTTAACTAAGAGATTCTGTTGTTAGCAGACAAAAGAAACTTGACTGAAACACTTGATATGAATAGTTGATTTTTCCTAAAATATAATATTTTAATTATATTGCAGATAAAAATGAATTTTCATTTTATTCATTTTAGAAAATGTAAATAAATTCCTTAACTTTTCTTTTTCATGTCACCAGTTTGCTTACATTGTATTGTTTCCTCAATTAATAGATTATTTTTTATTAAAAAGTTTCTATATGTCTTTACTAGATTGTAAACTCTTTAAGAGTACAGAATGTGTCTGCTTCTCTTTGTATCCTCAAAAATGGTAAGCAATGAAAAGTTTATAAAACTAGGAAGTTAGGATACTTTAAACAAAATTTTCTTTTGCAAAGGTATTTATCCACTAGCAGTGTTCCTCCTGAATTAAGTATGACTAAAAAGACCTTAGTCACAGTTCTGTAGACATAAATGCTAAGACAATAAGGAACATCAAAAATAATAGCTTATCTAGGAAAAAAATAGGGCTACTTTTTTGTTCATTTAGTGTTGTCTAAGTGTTAAAGTTTTTAAAACTTAGCAGATTTTATACAAGTAGCCCTACTGCTCTAAATCTTGAGGATTCCCCATTCCCTATTCACTACCCTGCTGAGAATCAGGAGTGAGACTCCACATTCCTATTTCCAAAGGGCTATTGTGACTTTATGCTGACCTACACCAGCCATGTACATTCTTTTTCCTCCTCACACCTACTTAGCACCTGTAGTCTGGTACTAGATTCCATCATTCTCCCAGAAAGATACAGTTTATGAGAAACAGCAGTGTGAGCAGCAGCCCTTAAGTAACTTTAGGCAATGCACATAGATGACAGCATCATACTTGAACTGTATCAAGGCCCTTCCAGGCATCTGACCTAACAAAATGCATGTATTATGTCATTGCCTAATTTTCTTACTTTTTCAAGAATAAGCTATTTGGAGCTAACTTTGGCCTGTCAAGCAAACACTGCCATTTCTAGCTTTTCCATAGACCAGTTATACAAGCCTAGGGAAGTTATCTTCTTAATCCTTCTACATTTGCTCTTATGTTTCCATCAGATGAATAGTTTTTTATATTACCATGTCACTAATCTGTAACTACCAAAGGTTGCTTATCATTGCCTTAGGCAAAAACAAATCCATAAAAATTTTTTTTATCTGCTATAACTTCCTCTTTCATTTTTTTCTCCAAGCACTAGTTACCTTTTCACCTCAGCAGAAACATGTAGCACTCTTCTTTATAGAAGGAGTACTTCATTGAAACTAGTCATTTATGCATTGCCTTCAAGATCCTAAGATTCTTTTTTGCTTTTTCTGTTGTTGGTACTGACTTTTTGTATCTGTTCTAGTATTTGGTGCTCCTTAATACAGGTTGAACATCCCTGATTCAAAAACCAAAAAATTTATAATGCTCCAAAATCTGAAACTTTTTGATCTCTGACATAACACCACAAATGGCACTGAAATTTGTAAAGCTGGTGTGTTATACTCAAAACACAGGCACATTAAAATATTGTGTAAAATTACCTAGTCTCTGTGTATATGATGTAAATGAAACATAAATGAGTTCCATATGTAGACTTAGGTCCCATCCACAAAATACCTCATTTTATGTATCTGCAAATATTCCAAAATCTAAAACACTTCTTGTCCTAAACATTTCAAATAGGGATACTCAACCTGTACTATAATCTTATTCTTTTGGGGGGAAAACAAGGTGTTATACATTTTGATTTTAAAAATAGAGGTCTGCCATAAACTCATTATATATTATTTGAGTGTGTGACCAACAAGATATATATCTAGTCTTAAGAATCTGAAGTACTTTTCTAACCAGTAAGTGATTTTACAGCAAGTTCATAAGTCAGGATTGATTATGACAAGGTTGACCAAAATCAGTTTTCTATGACAATTATAACAAATAAACCCACCGTTTGATGGTTGATAGTCTAACAGATCAAGATCCTACAACAAACTTTTAAACAAACTTGGAACTAATTTTTTAAGATAACTCAAAAACCTTGTCTGTGGTTAAGAGCTGAATTCTGAAAAGAAATTCCTACTTTTTTCAGCATGTAGTCTTGAGAAACTCAATTTCGTGGTAAAATGCACAGTATGTGTAATTCTAACATAAACATGATCTTTAAATCACCTGGCTAATATTCTTTTGCTTTTGAAAAATTGATATAAGAATTTTTTATTACAGACTGTCTGACTTAAAAGTCATATAGTAGTGTTAAGGCTTCTAATAAAAGAGAGCAATCTCATTCCAATTCAGGATTCAGAATCATCTACTTTAACTTCTAGCTATTTCTTGTAATTATTTCCACATTTCTAAATAAATTTTTATTTGCTATTTCTTGATTTTTCTTTTCAATCTTGCACTAGTGACATCTGAAAATGAAGATTTAGTTTTATAACTATAAGGAGTTGCTTGCTCTATTTCTTTTCTTAATTTTGATCTCTTCTGTTTCATCCATTTCCTACATTATTCTTAATCAATACTTTATCTGTCTCATTTTCTCTGCCAAACTAGATATTATTACTTTTGTTAACATATTTACCCACATGATTAGCAATTTATTTGTTCCCAGTACTTCCTGTATCTTAGAACTTCTTTCTGTGATCATTTTTTCTTCCTTAAGTATATGCTGTAGAAATATTTTCTCTATATATTTCAGTTGGATAGTTTCTCTTGCCTTCAATTTCACACATTCTTCCTTCTACCATGTCTAATCTGCTATTAATCCCATTCAGTGTATTTTCATCTCAAAAATTGTAGCTTTCATCTGTAAAAGATCCATTTGGGTCTTTTTTCTATCTTCCAAGTTACATGAACTTCTTGACTATATGAAATACATTTTTGATAACCACTTTAGCTACTTGGTTTTGTAATTGTAGCATATATGTCATTCCTGGGTCAGTTTTGATTGTTTTTTCTCAGGATGACTGCTTCAAGGCCTTACTGAATATTCTGTCCAACATCTTATGAATTAGGATTCCAGTTTTTTTAGTGTGACTGGTGGGATGCAGGCACTAGTTTTCTCTAATATTTTTGTTTATTTTCCCCCACCTAACCTTGTGTTGTATTTTTATATGAATTCTGTAATCAGTACTCTGAATACTCTAGGAGGATGACCTGAACATAATTGATGTTCTTTTTATACACCTTTCTCCTCTTTTGTTCTGTGTCCTGCAAACTCTAGCTGAATTGCATTCTCTGAACTCTTGGCTCCTCTGTGCGGGGGGGATTCGGGGGAGTTGTTCTGCTTGTGTTCCTCTGTCTCTGCATCATGATCTAGAACTGCCAAGGTAATAGACTGAAGCAGTTGTTGGACTCACCCTGTCTGTTTCTCATCTCTTAGTGATCACTGTCCTTTGCTTGATGTTTAGTTCTTGAAAACTATTATTTTATTTGGTTTTTTTGTTTGTTTGTTTGTTTTAGCTGACTTAGAATATATTTGATCTCATGCATTGATAACTTATCAAAGCCTAAAATTAATCAGTATTTTTACCCTTTTCCTGTGTAGTAGGACCTTGAAACACTTTGTTCCTTAATTTTTACTCATATACTATTGTTGTAATGTATCTTAATTCTGTTTTTGTAAATTGTACAAAAGATTTTTATCAGTTTTATACCATGTCTGTATAATTTAATCTATATATTGCTACCTTCTTGCTCTCTTCCAGTCTTTGATTTTCAGTCAAAGATCAGTGTTCTTCACTGGAAATTATATACTTTAGGAATTTCTATAAGAGGGGTCTTTTAATCACAAATATTAGATTTTCATTTGTATGAAAATATCTTATTTTTATCTTTATTTCTGAGAGATATTTTTGCTGTGAATTGAAATTTATGTTGGCAGTTATTTTCTAAGTGTATTAAAGATTCTCACTTATGTGTATGATCCCACTATTATTATTCAGGACTTAGTAATAAATATGGGGTTTTTTAAATTTTTTTTCATTTCTGTATTTTTTTTTCTAGAGGTTTCTTTTAGTTCTTTTCCAAAACTGCTTTGTAATTTTTATAATCTCCTCTTTATCATGTTTTCAATTTCTTTTCACTGAGCATTGTATTTCTATATCCTATAATTCTTACATTTATTGTCTTTTGAGGTCAGGTCTTTTTTTTTCTCCCTGGTCTTCATAGTACCTCTTTTCATGCTGTATTACCTTTGACTCTGAATTCATTTCTTTTTGATGTATTAGTGGTTCCTAAATTCTAGGTATAAATTGCATTCCCTCAGATTTGATTTTTTTTTTTTCTGTTTAATAGAAGCTAACATGACAGGGCTAGAGATGTAGGTCAGGGGCAGAGAGCTTACCTGGCATGTGCAAAACCCTGGGTTTGATCCCCAGAACCACAAAAAAAAAAAAAACCGTTCCGAACAACAATATTGATATGACTGATACTGTGTTTAACCCACTTCTTAGTGTGATGTGTTTCTGAGCACACAGGAAAAATGAGTTTGCTCAAGAAATCCGTATGAGAGTCAGGGTATAGTTAGAGATTTTTATCCCACTCAGTACTCCTATTGTAGACACAAATAATTTTTCTTGAAGTCCTCTACTTGAAGATAGAGGAAAGGGGCTGTTGTTTCTAGTATAACCATGTACTGATTGTGTAGTCTTTTACAGTCCCAGTTCTGTATGGGCAAAGCCAAATTCTACTAGCCTACTGCCTCTCCCACTCAGTGAAAAGTAAAGTTCTTCAAAACTGTAAGCACGTTTCTTAGTCAGATTTTATTAAGACGATTTAATATTGACTGGGAGAATGGCTCTAGTGATGAGTTCCTGCCTAGCAAGCGTGAGGCCTCGAGTTCAACCCCAGCACTGCCAAAAGCCATACTGCAAAACTAGAAAACTTTTTTGTTCTATCTTTCATAGCAAGATAGTTACAGTGTGACCTCTCTGCCAAAAATATAAAATAGGCTTGTTCTATAAAAGAGAAGTGCTGGTGTTTGCTAAAGTAGTATTCTTACTATGTATTTGTCTTACAGATTACTTTGTGATAGTTAAGGAAAATAGCCAACATCAGACATTAATTTGATTTCTTTTTTTGGCTATTGTGAATGATGCTGCTGTGAGCATCCATGTACAGTTTTTTCTTCAAGACAGATATTTTCATTTCTCTTGGGTAGATATCTAGGAGTAGATTTGCTAGATCACATGGTAATTCTATGCTTAACTTTCTGAGGAACTGCCAGACTGGCAGAACTTTCTAGAGTCACTACCATTTACAGTGCGTAAGTTTTCCAGTTTTAAACTTTTTCATGAATTCTATGTCTGCCTTTTCTTTAAAAAACTGCCCTAGTGTGTATGAAGTGACATCTCATTGTGGTTTTGGTTTGTGTTTCTCTACTGGATAACAATGTTGGACATCTTTTTATGTGCATGTTGTTCGTTTGTAAATCTTTAAAGAAATGTCTGTGAAATATCTTTTGCCCATCTTTAATTGGGCTGTTTCTCCTGCATCGAAGTCTTTTATTAGATATGTGATTTTTTTTTTCATTTTTCTTTTATTATTCATATGTGCATACAAGGCTTGGTTTATTTCTCCCCCCTGCCCCCACCCCCTCCCTTACCACCCACTCCACCCTCTCCCGCTCCCCCCCTCAATACCCAGCAGAAACTATTTTGCCCTTATCTCTAATTTTGTTGTAGAGAGAGTATAAGCAATAATAGGAAGGAACAAGGGGTTTTGCTGGTTGAGGTAAGGATAGCTATACAGGGCATTGACTCACATTGATTTCCTGTGCGTGGGTGTTACCTTCTAGGTTAATTCTTTTTAATCTAACCTTTTCTCTAGTTCCTGGTCCCCTTTTCCTATTGGCCTCAGTTGCTTTAAGGTATCTGCTATGTGATTTTTTAAAATTTTTCTTCATTCTATGGATTATCTTTTTACTTTCTTGATGATTATTTTTTAATGCACAATTTCTACTTTTAATCATGTCCAATTTCTTTTTTCTTCCATGGCTTGTGTTTGGGTATCATATCTAAGAGACTACTGCCTCATCTAAGATCACAGATTTATATCTATTTTGTCTTCTAGTTTAATTTTAACTAGGGAGGTTTTATAGAAGTATCAATAAAAATACTTTTAAAGGGGAAAGAAGTACTTGTGATGTCATTGACCTATCAGTTGTTTTGCAATTTTGTCATCTCCTTGATCAATTTTTGCATATTTTGAGTATTACTATTATTTGGTAAGTATATACTCTGTTCTACTCTGACTATTTCTTTGTTTAATCAGTTATTCATAATTTCAATTTTTAAGGCTACATTGTTGTAATACAATTTCTGTTTTTCTTTATTGGCAATTTCATTAGCATAATTTTACTTTATTAAGACAATAAAGTAACATTACTTCAATATTTGTACATCTTTATGGAATACATTATGATAATTTGATATATGCATACATACAATGTGTAATGATCAAATCAGAATAACTGACTTTCCATCTCTTTACACATTAATCATTTTTTTGTGTTGGGAACATTATACTCTTCTAGTTATTCTGAAATATATTATACATTATTATATCCAAAAGTTACCCTGCTGTGCTAGAAAAACCAGAGCTAATTCCTCCTATCTGTGTTTTGGTGCCCCTTATCTACTTTCTTTCCATTCCTTATCCCCTGCCCATTCTTCCTAGTCTCTATTGATCACTATTCCACTCCATGAAATATGCAATTGGCTTTTTGTCTGTGAGTGAGTGAGAACAAGGGTATTTCGTCTTCTATATCTGACTTACTTCATTTAACATAATGACCTTCAGTTCCATCCATGTTGTTACAAATGACTGGATTTCATTCTTTTGTGACTAAATGATATTCCACTGTGCATATATACCCCATTTTGCTTAACCATTCATCTATTTAGGGACAATACAATTTCTTTATAGTTATAAAACTCCAGTTAACACTGATAAGTATGTAAGTACTTTTCACTTATTTCTTACTGTAACTTTCTAGGAATGGAATAATGTTGTCAAAAATGTAAATATTTTTTATAGATCTTAAGTTATATTACTTCTAGAAATCACTATAACAAGTGCCACTATGTTTCTGTTTAGTAAATGAAGTTGGTGTGCATTATAAGTTGAAGACAATGATATTAGTGACAGTCCTCCATCAGTAAAACTGAGAGTGAAGTGATACATGCTTCCTCATCTAGGCAGAAAAAAAATCATACTTTTTTGCACTTATATGAAAAACTAGAATGGTCAGTTGCCTTATTAACTAAAGATAAATGTAACCTACTTAAAATTCACTGTTTTATAATACTCTCTAATGATAGCATAATTTGTTAAATTTTCTTTAGGCTTCGAGAGCAGGAAAGAAAAGAAGCAGAAGAAGCTTGTCAAAAGGAAATAGAAGAATGGGAAAGAAAACTTCTAGCTCAAGCAGCTCCAACTTGTATGGAGAACATGTGGGAAATTCCAGCCATTGGACATTTCCTTTGTTTAGCCCAACAAATTCTAAATTTGCCAGAAATAGTCTTTTATGAATTGGAACGTTGTCTTCTGATGCCTCAATGTAACGCTTTTCTATCTAAAATAATGACTTCTTTATTAAGTCCTCCCCATCGCAGATCTACCTTACATCGAAGACCTACTTTGCCTTACAGGACTTGGGAAGCGGCACTGAGACAGAAAGTGCAGCAGTGGTATACTGCTGTAGGGCAGACTGAAAATCCTGATAACTGTGCTGAAAAACTTGGGCTGTGTCCTCAGTTTTTTAAAGTTCTTGGAGAAGTTAATCCATTGGAAGAAAAACCTTTTCATGAGCTACCTTTCTACCAAAAAGTGTGGTTGCTTAAGGGTCTTTGTGACTTTGTTTATGAAACACAAAAAGAAGTTCAAGATGCTGTACTTGGGCAGCCTATTCATGAGTGCAGGGAAGTTATCCTTGGTTATGATTATTTGGAGAATGCCTATGTACATTTTCCACAGTTCTGTGGTGCAGATGTACGGATTTATAAACAAAGACCCTTCCAGGCCCCAGAATTTCCAGTTCCACCCATTAAAGTACAAAGAGTACCTCGGATTAAACTGGAGAAACTGAAGTGTGACTATGTTAGTACAAGTAATGGAGAACATAAGTGTAGTAGAGAAGGCTTGCCTTCTGCCTTCAAGAAAGAGCAGGAAATTAATTTCGATTCAGCTTGTGGTGGTCCCGCTAAAATGAACTTTGATAATCAAGACATCTCTGTTGAAACTGAAGTAAAATCCAACTGTGAAATTAAAATTCAGAGGCCCTGTGAAATTAAAAAAACTGATTGCTGTAAAGAAAATTTGGAGAAACCAGGGAGTCCAGGAGAAGTTACTGACTTTGGAGAGCCACTCAGCCCAGGTGAAATAAGGTTTATAGAAAATCAGGAAAAATATGGTGAAACTTCCAGAATAAAATGTGAACCCAGTCCATTAAAAGAAAATGCTCTAAAATCTTGCCAAATTCACGTAAATGGGAGTCACACTGATCACCCAGAAATTAACTGCCACAAAATAAGAGATATTCTACTAGAGCAGTCACTGCAGAGCCACAAGAAACTCAAACTAACTAAAATGAGGGCAAAAAAGAAGAAAAAGAAAAAAAAGAAATTGAAAGATGCTTTGAGTGAAAATTTACAGAGAAAACGTGAAGGTCTTCATTCTCTTGCATTCAAGTCTTACAAACCTGATATCCAAAATAAGTTATTGATCATCAAAAAGAAAGCAAAACACAAGAAGCACAAATCTGGTAAGCTAACACAAATGGGTAAGAATTGCTTTAAGTAAAATTCAGCTCTTTTAAAGTATTCTTCATGGAAGCTCTGGTTCATAAAATGAAATGTACATATATATGTGTGTATATAAGGATCAGGTTTTAATTATTTCCCATGATTAAAAAAACCCAGACCATAAGAGATATTATACTAACCAAAAACCTGGTGCAATTGAAGTAAACTCTCAAATATGTTCAGACATTATACTTTTACATTTTTCTTCAGCAATCTCTTTGTAAGTGATAACTCCATAACTTATGAGAACTGGGGGTTTTCCCAACGAAGCAGTACAACTGTAGTAAAAAAGCATGGATATCAAAAGAAACCATTACCAGAACTTAGGTTCATAGCAACTAACTTCTTAAACTAGACATGTTAGATTATCAATCTGGGTCTGTTTTTTTCTCCACATCATATATTTTTCAGCACCCTGTTTTTAGTATATATTTTTATATCCAGAAAAAATGTGAACTATAAGAAGGATATTACATCAACTAATAGGGCAAGAAGCATATATTTATAAAAGGATTTTTGTCTGTCACCAAATTTACCCTGTTTGTTAGCAGCCTATTTAAACAACAAAAATCCTATAAAGTCTATAGTGGTTGGTTGCTCTGTTTTTAAATTGCTCCAGTGCTTTTACTTTTCCTGTTATCCAACTTTTAATCAGTTGCTGTTTCATTTATGATAAGGATAGGTGAGACAAAAATCCTATGGTCAATTTTATTGACTTTAATAAAAAGTTGCTTGAGCTGGGCATAGTGGTATATACCTGTAGTCTTAGCTGCTTGGGAGGTAGAGTCAAGTAGATCTCGAATTTGAGGCCAGCCCAAGCAGTTAACAAGACCCTGTCTCTAAAATACAAGCAAAATAGTAGAGTGCTTGACTAGCATGCATGAGCCCATGTCCTAGGTTCAATTCCCAGTACCACAAAATAAATAAATAAAAATTTAAAAGGTGATTGATTAGGGGAAGCATTGACAAAAATGAATCATGGCTCACTATCATCATCATTTATGGATTTCAGGGGTTTTTTTCCTGCAGTAGCATAGTTAATTAAAATTTGGCAGAAATTTGTTACTGAGTTATCAAACAAGGAAGTGAATTTTTGTTTGGCAAGTATAGTTGGTATTAAACTTTAATTGTTTAAATCGTTAAATATAATGCAACATGTCCTTAAAATGTGTATGTAATAAATCATTGATAAAGAGGTAGTATAGTCAGGCCAGGTAGTCCATGCCTATAATCCTAGCTACTCAGGAGTCAGAGATCCAGAGGAATGTGGTTCAAGGCCAACCTGAGTAGAAAGTTAGCAAGACCTCATCTCACTCAATAAGCTGGGCACGGTTGTACGTATTGTGGTCCCAACTACATGGAAAGCCAGAAACAGGAGGATATGGTCCAGAGTTGCCCAGGCAAAAAAAAAAAAAAAAAAAAAAACAGGAGACCCTGTCTAAAAAATAACCTAAAAGCAAAAATGGCTAGAAATGTGGCTTAAGTGGTAGAATGCTTGCTAGGCAAACACATGAGGGAGGGAGGAAAGGAGGTAGAGAGAGAAAGAGAGGAGGAGGGAGGGGAGGAGGAAAAGAAGAGAAAGGAGAAGGAAGGAAAAAGAGAAAAAAAAAGAAAGAAATAATATAAAAGTTACTACCAAAATAAGCTTACTTTGTTGAGGTGATAAAGTGATCCACACTGACCTAATTTTTTAAAGTAATTTTCAGAAAGCCTTTAAAGAGTTACAAGCTATCTCTTAGGTTTTATATATTTAGTTTGATGGAGCTGGCAAATTCATTTTGAAATATTAGTCTCTAACACATTAAATTTTTTAATTTGAATCTTTAATTCTAAACTACATAGTATTATTTTACTAATAACATTGTTACCTAAAACCTTTTAAGTTACAGTTTCTAAAACAATATGCACACTAATGTTGCTCCTATACAGATTATACCAGTAACAATAAAGACAATGGTGAGAAGTGGATTAAAAAGAATTCATATTGTAAATAAATAAGTGTTGTTAAATTTTTAAAATCAAACCAGGCACTGGTGGCTCACGCCTGTAGTCCTAGCTACTCAGGAGACAGAGATGAAGAGGGTCAGGATCACGGTTCCAATTCAGGGCAGACAAATAAATAGTTTTTGAGACTCTGTCTCAAAAAAATCCATCACAAAAAAAGGGCTGGTGGAGTGGCTCAAGGTGTCAGCCTTGGATTCAAACCCCAGCAGCTCAAAAAAAAAAAACTTCAGGATGTTCAGAGTAAAAATATTTTCTATGACCATTTCATGTCCAGTTGCAGACAAGTGAATGGAAACACTCAGAAGACAAGTTTAGCAACTACTGTGTGCCTTCTGTTTAGCCAGGGAAAGAAGGCTTACATTCATAAAATAAAAGAAAGTAATGCACTTATCTATATACTTTCTTATTTTATCCTCAGAGTGAATTCTAGGAATAGAAATTCAAGTGTTGAGTGACTAAAATGTTTGGTTGTGACAGATAAGAGTTTCTCTTTCTATTGTTAGAATTGGGTGAGTATAGGCCAATTCCCTTTTTTCATCATACGTTAAAGTCCTTACCTGATATATCAGTCTTATATAAAATGTTATAAAACAAATGTTTTGATTTTAGAGGGGTATTGTAAGTGTGAATAATATTTATTAAGTAATATCCCTCGTAGGATTGAGGTAACCCACATAGTTTCTACAGAAAAATGTATGGGTAGTCAGACTAAATGAAAGGAAGATTATAAAGAAGCTTCATAACAGTTCAGGTTGGATATTGTTACCATGTAATTATTTTAGGATTTTAGTTTTCAGTACTTTTTGCGCTTCAGGATTGTAGATAAGTGATTTGGGGCCTATAAAGGATTCTGGGCCTATAAGGTTTTCTGCAGAAAACTGCTTAATTTTGTCTAACCTAGTTTCTTTTTTTTCAAGTTTATATTAATAAGACCTTTTTTTTAATGTAATAGTTACCAGTAGCCCATCAATTCTATTCTTTAGTATAAGCCTGTCATCCATGATTGATTTTATGAACTTACACTTAGAGTAAACTAAATTCTACATATTAATCTGGTCCATTTTATGTTAATTTACTGCAGGCTTTAATTTTTGGTGGTATCTTTGAGTTTAGTAAGCCCTATTGTGATGGGAGATGATTTTTAAGAGAGGGCACAATATAAGTTGGTTGAAAATAATTTCATAATTTTAGTGTACTGTGAGGCCATTTTGCAGCATAGATAAAAACGATCTCTTTTTCAGAATTGGAGTTTTCTTTATGCTTTTTAAATTTTGAATTCATTTTTAGTCCATTAAGCATGTGACTTAGTGTTGGAAATATTATGGAATAAATAAAAATCAGTGGAAATAATATAATATTTGTCACCTCATGCTCTACCTTATATGATTTAATCAATATATTGAATAAGAAGGCTAGGATCTAGTGATTAGAAAGTTTTTCTTGTTGACCTATTTCCAAAATTTAAAAATGACTATAAACTTTGTCATTTAGGTAAAGTAAGCAAGATTAACTGAGAACGGATTAGGAAAAAAAATGTTTTAAGGGGAATAAATAATCCAAATTTTTTTAAAATTCAGATCCTTTGGGTTTTTTATGATTATAAAAGCAGTACATTTTCTTTATAGTATGTAGAAGCCAGCAAAAAGAATAATGCTTTTCTCATCACCTAATGCTCATAATTTTATCATCTCCTTAAGGAAACCTTCCATTATTTTTCTGGCTAAATAAAAAATTCCCTATTTATAACATATATATGTAGAATTCTGTATTGATAGCACTACAGAACTTAACTGTATGTATCTTCATGGAGAATACTTTTGAGAATATCAAATGGGGATTACAATATTATAAGCAACTGAAAGAATTCAGTGTACTTCCTGACCTTTTATTTTTCAATCCCTTCTGTTTCCCCCCAAAATGAACTAATATTCATATAGTTCTTACTCGGTGCCTTTATACATATTGTTTTGTTTAATCTTCATTAAAGCTATAAAATGTAAATGCTACACTGAGGTAAAGAGAAATTTGTTTACTTGTCACACTAGTGGCAGGATTGCAAGAAAAGATCTTGCAAAATAATCAGGATACCATTAAAGAACTATGAAAAAGTAATTGGTAGGTTTTAAATGGAGAGGTAGTTGATGAGTAGGGAAAAGAAATTTAAATCCAGATAAGGAATGATTATGTGACTTTTCTATCTTATTAACATAAGAAAATTCCATTTTAAGAGAGATGTTGCAACAGGCTGGGTACAATGGCTCACATCTGTAATCCAGGCTACTTAGTAGGCAGAGATTGGAAGGATCAAGAATCAAGGTCAGTCATTACAGAAAATTAATGAAGAACTGTTCCCACCCACCCCCAGTCTCAACAAATAAGCCTGGCATAGTAATGTGTACCTATGATCCCACCTATGTGGGAGACTAGGTAGGAGGATCAGATCAGTCTGAGACTAGCCCCAGGCAAAAACTCAAAACCCTACCTGAAAAGTAAATAAAATAAAAAAGGGCTGAGGGTATGGCTTAAGTGATATAGCACTTACCTGGTGAGCTCAAGGCTCTGAGTTCAAACCCCAGTTCTTCTGAGACAGAGAGTTGTGATAAGTAGAATTTGATGTCTGATTGAATATTCTGTGTTAAAGAGAAAAAAGCATTGGGTGTGCAGGAGTTCTGTATCATGTTATACGGTAGAAAATTGCCAGTATGATGAGAAATTTGCTCCATAAGCAAAGACAACAGAAAGAAAATAAACTGTTTTATTAAGATCAAATTGCTTACTTAGAACATTCCAGAAACTTCTATAGAATGTAAATATTAGCTCAAGTCATGCACATTTAAAATAAGGTCGAATTTAGAGTCCAGTTCTGTGATTTCACATCCCAAGCACTTCCAAGATTCAGTATTTAATAATACACATGCCCTTGGGCTCTTAACAGTAATTAATACATTTTTATCCGCTCACTTATTAATGTCCCTAAAATGAAAACACTGAGGGATTAATGAATGTGTTGGGGGAATTTTAAAACCAAGAAAGGCTAGGAAGGCATTGAAGTGAAAGTCTTTGAGTAGCCCAATGAACTAAGGAGTGAAGACAGACAAGGGAAACCAGGTGAAGGAAAGAGATAAAAATGAGGAATAAGAAGGCTGGGCATTGTGGTGCATACATGTAATCCTAGTTACTTGGGAGGTGAAGATTGGGAAGATCACAGTTTAAGGCCAGCCTGAGCAAAAGTAAGAGAGAGCCCATCTCAAAAAATAAGCTGGCATGGTGGCTCATAGCTATAATCTCAGCTACACAGGAGGCATGACTAGAAATATCACAGTTCAAGGCACACCAGGCAAAAAGCTGAGAGCATATATCTTTCAGTTGTATAATTTTTCTTCCCAAGGAAACAAGGCCATTCAGGAAATTTTCTCCAGTTTAATTATAATCAGAATGTCCAACATCACTTTACTTAAAAACTGGAAGCATTAGTTTGAAGCTATACATACTAATATGTCATTGTACATGTCAGAAAGTTCCTATGATACTAAAAGTTTGTTATATTTTATCAAACATTAAACTTTTTTAAAGAGAAAAAAAATAACTGAGGCAAAAAAAAAGGCTGTCCCAGGGTATAGCTTAAGTAGCCTGCCTAGCAAGTGTGAGGCCCTGAGTTGAAACCCTAGTAGTGCATTAATTAACTGGAATAAGAAACTGAGAAAAGTTGAAATGGTAATGATAATCACCCTCATTTCTCTAGTAAAAGGTTTGTTTCCAGATTATAGAAGACTGGAGTTCTGTGCCTCACTTACAGTGTAGACATATATTTTTAGTTATAATTTTTCCCCTCAGGTTGGTCATCATTTCCATTTTCTTAAGCTGTTCTAAGCACTGTGTTTTAGAAAGCTTCACTAGGTTTATTTTTCTAACAGTAAATTTTATCATTAAGGTTTATTAGTTATTAAGGTTTTCTTATGTGATTTTCAAGCACAGGTTGACACTTTTTGTACATATCTGTATTTTAGCTTAAGAATGGTGCGAGGCTAAAACACTATTTTTGGAAATTCTATGTATCTTTTAAACTGATTTGATTTCCACACAATCCTAGGTTTGAGAGTTACATTCTATTTTACAGGATCGGGTGACTTAGGGAAGTGAGAGCCCAGCATATATGTACTCATGCAAGTGGTAAGGGAATGGAGGCCCACTGGGGGGCAGTATCTAACTTCCCTAGTGTATATCTTGTCCTGAAACAAAAAACAAAAAAATTACGAAATACCAGCTGAGTCGTTTTGTATTATCCCATGCTCCATTTAAAAAATAACATTTAATAAAGAGTAAGCACTAATTTTCACAAGAATACAGGGAAATTTGTATGCATATTGTCTTTTGAGAACATAGACTGAAAATACTGGTATTAAGCAATGGTGAACATGCAAATCTTCTAACCCTACTCAAAAGAAATATTCTAAAGTAAATAAAAAGTAGATTTCATCCCTGCAAAAAGTTTGGAAGTAATTTTATCATCAAAAAGCAGTTTTGAAGTGAGAAGGATCTAGTTTGAAATATATGCTCCAGTACATATTAGCTACAAGTCATCCATTTTTTTTATCTGTTTATCATCTATTTATTGGTAGAAAATAAGATACTATAAAATCTAGCATGCATAGAGCCTGGTGCATGGTAGGAATCAATCAGTAAAGGGTAACTATATTTTTGTGAGGTAGAATTACATAAAGGAAGAAACTTGAACTCTGGAGGTAGAATCCTTGATTGTGGTACTTCTTCCTGTGTGACATTTGAGTAAGTTAGTTAATCTTTTTGATCTTTAATTATCCCATATTAAAATAGAGTATTACCTACCTTAAGGGCTGTTTTGGGACTTAAATAATGTATATAATCACTTTAAAGTGTCTAGCACATAGTAGTCTCCCAATAAATGTTAGTCTTCTGCAACCACTACTATGTCATTTATGAAACTTCAGTAGATAGTGTGAATTAAGCTGGACATGGTGAGATACACCTGTAATCTCACCTACTAAGGAGTCTGAAGCGGAAGGATTCCAAATTCCAGGCCATCAAGGGCAAATAAGTGAGACACTGTCTTAAGAAAAAAAGAGAAGAGGGGGATGGGGAAGTAGCTCTGTGGCCAATCACTTGCCTACCATGCTTAAGGTCCTGGGTTTAATCCCCAGTAATGCAAAAGAAAAAAATATAAATTATTTAAAGTTACTGTCAGTGCTGTCCTCACTATAAAATGGACTCAAATGAACACATAGAATTGTAAATCATTACCTGCCTCTTTGTCTCTTTTTTCCTATCCCTACACTGGCAAAATTTCTGGTGAAAAATTGGATTATTATATTTAAGGATCATTCCTCAGAATTTATATGCCAAGAATAAAGTGAATAATGTGATTTCTGCCATCAGTAATTCACAGTGTATTAAGGAAGATAAACAGTTTATTATGATACTCTGTGATAGGTGTTAAACTCATTGATTTGTGTAAAAGTGAATGATAGTACAGAGGACATACGAACAAGAACTATTTTAAAAGTAAGAAAGAATATGAAAAGGTTAAGAGTTAAATTAGGGTAGATTTAGACTTTTCTCATTTAGCTAAAGCAGAATCAGTAACTATCATTTGTTTATTACTCCACATGCTTAACAGTAGTCTAAGCTCTGTCGTAACTCATTTAATTCTCACAAAGTAGGTACTGTTATCCATGTTCTATAGATAAGACACTGCACAGAGAAGTAAAGCTGTTTACTCAAGGTCGTACAGCTAGTAGGTGGTTGTAGCAAATATTGGTATCCACATAGTTTAGGTCCAAAACTCAATCTTAAAACCACTACATAATAAGTACTACTCTCAGTAACTTAATCACATTTAAGCATCCTAAGAAGTAACCACTTGAGCTTCTAAATCCATTCAAATAGAGTGGGTGCTAAGAGTTAACAGGGGATTTAGTATCTGAGTTTAGTGACTATGTGACAACAATATGAAATGCATACAACTGCCAAGGGTGTCTTGTGCTTATGAATGAATACAAAATCCAAGATACATTGTAAGCATATATGGAAATACCTCAATGAAACTCCCTGTAATTTTTAAAAATGTTTTTTAAAAATTAATTAGACAGTATGGAGGAGGGGAGTTGAGGAAGAATTTCCTTTCCTTCAAATTGTTATATTTATAAAGACTTCCCAGACTTGGGAGAAGGCAAATTTACTTTTGCTTAGCAAATCATTGATCTTTTCCCATGAACTTTAAAAAAATGATGAAAGTAGTACATAGGAAAAAGGAATCCTGGCATTCAGATTCATGAGTCTCCTTGAGCTAACTGTATTGTAGTGATACCAGGAATTTAATCACTTTTCCCTGAGTAGTGCTCATTTAAGCAGCTCACCCACTTAACATTTCCTAGAAGTTTAGTACTATTAGAGGGGAATGTAAATATAAGCAAATAACAGTAATGAGAAAAAAATGTATTGGGGGCCATTTTGTTTTCATTTAATTAAAAACAAATGTCAAATGACAGCAGGTTAAAAGTTATTAAAAGAAGACAGTAAAATATTTGTGAGCCTCAGCAGTTGAAAACTTGCAATAGTTCAGTCATACTATACATACATTTTTTGAGACAAAAGTTGGAAATTACATGTTATAGTTCTATGATTTGATTAAATAGGATTACAGAAAGTAACAGATTATATTGTTGGTTGAAGTTATGTCAGTCAGGTTGAATAAAATGTTGTCATCAGATATTTCAAATCCTGTTTCATACCAGACCATATCTAGTTAGGAAAATGTAAGCATTGAAATTATGTCAAGTAAATTTATTTCATTTTCCCTTTTGAAAAAAATGGTAGCTTTTAACTTGATTTTTAGTCTACATAATTAATAGGGAATCAAAATTAACATAGAAGGGCTGGAGATACAGCTCAGTGGTAGAGCATTTGCCTAGCATGTGCAAGGCCCTGGGTTTGAGTCCCAGCACAAAAAAAATTTTTATGGAAGTATCTTAACTTTTTATGCCATTACATATACTCCTGGTGGACAGGGTCTGCATTTTGTAATTGTTTATTGTGCCCATAAGTGTCCTACGTCTCACATTTGTTGAATAATTAAGATAAATCAATTTGTTAATTGATTTTTGCTAATTGCAAACAGAGAAAACAAAATTTTAATGTATTCCTTACTAAAAATAGAAGTTTTATGCATGTAGGTATCATTTTGCAAAGAACTAGATATCCTTCAAATGTATGCTACAAACTGGATTTCTTTAAGAATATGAGATTTATTTTTCCTAGTGATTTCACAGTACACAGTTTACTAGGTGTACTTTAAAGGGAGATGTTTACCTTCTTCTAAAACTTTGGATCTTGAATACTGCCAAGGGCAGCCCATTAGGTGAGTGTAAAGCTAAAGGGATAGAAAAACCTTGTTTCCTAAGCTACTGAGAGTATTTTCATATTCGGTTGGGTAGAAGCCATAATCTTCAAGATACAGTTTTTATGCAAGTTCCTGACTGCAGAGGTCATTGTTGAAGGTAAGGGTTTGGTTTTTTTGTTTTGTTTTGTTTTTGTTTTTTTATTGTGTAGTCTCATTCTAAGTTGTAAAAATAGATTTTAACTGAGTAGTAATATTGTAGCTTTTTGCTTAATCTTCTTGCAATAAATTCAGATACTTACACAACACTGAATTGTAATAGTTTGGTTCATGTATAAAAAAGACAGCATATGTTACTGTGTCTGTTATAGGTAGTTATAGTTTGATGTTTGCTTTTACTGGGGCTTGTTTTGATTCATCATTTTCATTTGACTCACTAGCAGCCATCTGTTAGTTATAATTTAACTTTCAAGGCTCTATGTAATTTGGTTTTTGTTAATAAAGTGCTGTAAACAGCATTATGAAGCTTTTCTCTTTTAATCTTGAAAGGAAAAAAATCCATATCTAAAAAAGCAATCACAAAGAAGAGGAAAACTCTCACAAAGTCACCTACTGTACCAGAATTTCAGGTAAATGTTTCAACTTTGTCTCAAAATTTTAGTTTAATTTTTTTGTCTCAATGGTTATTTTATTCTTAAGAAATTGGCTGAATTTCAAGAAACTGTAACACATATACTTCAAATGAAGTGTTCCTGGTAGTGTGTTTTTCTCTTGCAAGCACAGATGTAGCCAAGACTTAATCTGCTGAGTATTTCATGATTTTCACCTTTGTTTTTGTCTCGAAAGTAAAAAAACCTCTGACTTTTTTTTATATGGTAACCTATACAAAGTTTAGTAGAAGTAATTTAAAAGAAATATATGTGTGTGTGTGTGTATATATATATATATATATATATCCCTCTAAATATGTGTCTATATACATATATTTAAGCATTATGTAAGTGGAAGTCTTCAAGAACAAATCATAATTTGTGTGTGGTAGGAAATATTCTCACTTATTTGGGTGATATAGAAGTGGTACATTGATTAATCTGAAAAATAGACATTTTAACTCTTAGCTACATATAATCTTCAAAGAGAGTATTCAGTAAAAGCTAAATGAAATGGTCTTTAAACATATCTGCAAAAGAAGTCATTATATGTACTGCCATATGAATATGTAAAGAGTTTTGTGTTGGTAGCTAATACTAAGAATAAGTAATCTCATCCTAATTAAATGATACTTTTATTTTCTATTTATAAAATGTGTTTTCATCAATAAATGTCTTTAAAGCTCTCTTTATAGTTGTGGTGCCCACTCCATTTCTAAAAGTTTTATAAGGTCATTTTTAATTGCTAAAAGACAAAAGTGATGTTAAAATGAATTTGTGAATCTCATATTAAACAGAGATTAAAAAAATAAGGAACAATTAACTATGAAAATGTTGATAAACTGAGTTTTTATCAGTTACATATATGTAGAAAATGTGGACACATCCATTTTCAGTAAAAAGACCTATTTGGGAGAAGTTGCTAATCTATAAAAATCAAATATTTTTAAATAGTCAAAGAAAATAGATATGTTTTTATCTCAGTATTTTAGAGTATTTCAGTGACATTTTAAGGATGAATTATAAACATTTCTACAAAATCTTTTTATATATAACTTTGGTTCTAGCATATTTACTGAAATACAATTTTACTGTTTACATGACTCTTTTCTACCATTCATTGCTTGTAACATTGTTAAATACTATAATGTTATATCATTATGGTCATTATGCTTCTACTGATGTCGTGTTAGCCTTTGCTATTTCTCCTACTCATTTTTTTCTCAATTCCTCAAAGCATTAGCTCTGCAAATAAATATTTTAGGACAGATCTGACCCATTTTTAGTTTTTTCTCTGTTCCTATATTAGTGGATGGACTTTACATGTAATAAATATATATTGCATAGACAGTGTCTTTCATAGTTGCAAATGGTGTTATTAGTGATGCATGAAATCATTTCAGTGGATTGCATGACCAACATTTCTTTTTTAAGCTAACAAAATTTAAATGGAAATTATCAGTGTTACCACACCTAGTGTGTCACATACAGTAACATGAAAATGTATGGTCATATATTGTTTTATGATACTGTGGGTCTGGTAGTATGTGTGTACACAATAATATGAATTATAAAATGTATTTTTTACTGTGGGTCATGAACAAAAAAAGTTGAAAACCTGTTTTAAGTGATACTTTGAGTCAGTTATTGACCATTTGCTTACCACTTTCAGAAACTTAAGGTCAAAAGTACATGTTTTGCTAGATTGAGCCGTTCAAAATAAATAAAGTCCCCTTCCTGGTTCTTAAGGTGTGGGATGAGGGGAATGGAGAATATCTGTTTGTCTGTGTTTGTGTAAAGAGGGGAATAGTCTATGAGAATAGGGGCTCTTATTCCTAGTTTATAATGTGAATACCATGGTATTACTCATAAGAAAATTGACAGCTACCTCCTAAGGGAATGTGTTATTTGCTTCATATAAACACATTAATAAAATAGAGATAATATTAGTAATTGGCAAATTTTGCAAACTGCAAAACTTATACTTTTGTTCCACATGTAAGAATACCAATTATCTAATAAGTGAATTCTTGGTTTTTTGGGGGTTTTTTTTGTAGTACTGATGTGTAAATACAGGCCTCCTAGACAAGCATTCTACCACTTGAGCCACACCTCTAGTCCTCAGAAGTTCTAATACGGTATTTAGCACCTCAGATTCTACAACTTACTCATTTTATCCAAATTGTTTTAAAAATCACATTTCTAGTTATTGAACATAAAATACTTTAGAAATATTTAAGTAGAAGATTTTCTTATTATCCATTCTAAAATATCTTATTACTGAAAATAATGAAATCATTGATGTATAAATATTAAATTCCTTATGTAAAACCTGACCTATTTGCCAAAGGGCTGGTCATCTTTGAATTTACAGAAAATTATGCTTAGAGAGAAACAAGCTAAAGGATTAAATTGTGAAGTTTGTTTTTTTAAGTCCTGATGAATTAAAAAGTGACAGTTTTGACCCCAACTACTTTTTGTTTTGATGGTAGTGGGGACTTTTTTTAAAGGCTAGAAATCAAACTTGCCTCCTTGTTTGCTTCAGGAAAAAAAACCATGTTTATTTACATATCCTCATGTTGAGAAAATAATCATCCCACTCCTATTTAAAATGTGCACTATGGATATTGAAGTAGTAAATTTGATTTTGTCTGTCTGTATATTTTGTAAAGGGACTAACAATATCTGTGGTACTTTTTCCTGAGAGTTATATTAGTGGTTCTCAAACATTAGATAGTAAAAAAAAAATAATCCAATGCCTGTATTTAAAATGAAGATTCCTAAATTTCCTCCTCCAAAGACCTTGATTCAGTGAGTTTTGGTGGGTACCAATAATCTGAATAGTGGTTAAACACATGGATTCTAGAGCCAGACTTCTTGAGTTTGAATGTCAGCTCTACTGCCTACTAACTCTGTAACTTTAGGTAAGTTACTCAACCTCTCTGTGATTCCAATTCCTCATCTATACCTAAAGGTAATAATAGTACCTATTTCCATAGGGGAGTTTTAAGAATTAAATTATATACTTCACTGTTTTAGCTATTGAAAAATAGTACTTGGATATGTAAGAAAATCAATTAGGAATCTGCTTAAGAGCATCTATTATTGATTGACCTAAGTAGTTTTTCCAGCTACTTAAGACCTTGAAATAAATCTTGGATTTGGTTTTAGGAAAGCAGCACATGATTAAGCCTATAAGAATTTGCAAAATGAAAAGCCAAATAATATATTTGACCACAGAGGGAAAACTTAGGCTTATTCTTACTTTAGTGTGCTGATAGGGTATGTATTTGGCATGTAGGAGAAATTCTATTGGATTTTTTTTTTGTAAGCAGAAATTTTTATTTTTAATGTTTAGAATATTGATTTAAGTTTATATCAAATTTAAGTTATTTGTGATTTTGTTAAATTGACTAAATAATTTTATCTGTTTTGTATTATAAGCAAGACTATTAGGCTGAACAGTTTTCTTAATAAAGTTAACTTTTCCCTATAAGCCTTTTGTTTAATGGAAATCTAATATTATACAAATTGTCTTTTGTACATAACTATGACAGAAAGGTATAGAAAGTATTTTTAAAACTTGGTTTGTCAAGTCCTAGTATGATAAGTTGTTTAAGAAGTTTAACAGCTTTAGTTACCATGACTCTGCTTTTCTTTTGTAACCAAAAAAAAATCTCTAATGTAATGTGTACTTGCTCCTATTCGAAATGTGTTTTATTCTGAAAACTAATTTGCAGAGGAAATCCAGAATCCAGCTATTAAAAAGTACATAGTAGTATTGTTTTTAAATCTAAACTTATGACTTAATGTGTCCCTGATATTTCGCTATGCAACTAATGGAAGAACTAAGGAATAAGAAATTAAGTATAACCAATCCTCAATATAAAATATTGGGACCAAAACTGAAATTAAGAGTTTTTAACCACTTCACTGTGTTGAGATCCTTGTATTAGTCAGTACTTTGAATTGCTACCTCTTAAAAAGAGTATTTTCAACCTTAGCTTGTTGTTCCACTTTAAACAGAAGAGTTTTTTACTTATCTTTTTAAGTCATTTCAGTTGTTTAAATGTAGTACATTTGAAAGAAACATCTGTTTTTAATCACATAGTAGTAAAAAACATTAACTTGTTTATTTTAGAACTATTTAGTTTTTGTGTCAGAAGTGATAATCCTTATTTGCAGGTTTTGAAATGGTCATTATTGCTGCTATGGTGACAATAAGAAGTAAGGACTTTTCCTGTCTGTTTTAACAGTTGCTGATATAATTTTAGTTTAAATGCATTATAAATTTTGAATATATACCACACATTTAGTGTTTTTCTTATAATTTTTATAACAAATTACAGAATATTTTCATTAGACTGAATGTGATCCATTTTATTTTGGACATTTATTTTTACTTTTCAACCTGGTTTTCCCTTTATATTTTTTAAATAAAATTTATATGCTTTTATATTTGTATGCTACCTTATATCTTTTATTGAAACAAATATTATCACTTAATGAAAATATTACATGTAAGTTACATCCTAAAACTAATAATATGTTCATTTGTTAATTTTTTTGGTTTATTGTTTGTTTAGAAAGACCACTTAATATGATATACTAGGAGGAGTCTAGACTCTGATTTCCTCTACCAGTGTCTCATCCATCTTAGGTTATTTTACTTCTTTTAGTTTTAATTAGCTTGTATATGAATTGAAGATACACCTTTTTAGCCTAGGCTAAGGCTTGAACCAATTACATTTGGTCCCTTTCGGCTCTTAAGATCTGTGATTTTATGGCTCTGCGTTGTTTATGTCACGTGAAAGGTTAACTTTAGGGAGAATGTGACAGCCTTAAAGAGGTTCTTTCCAAGGAAATCAAAACCTCTGCACTATAAATAGAAAACTTCCTTCTCATGAGTGTTGGCATTGTAACCTGACTGTAATCTAAGCTGCTATGGAGCATTTCTGTCCTGGCCCCCACACCCCCGCCGTGCCTCCCAACCAGGCTCTGTGCCTCAGATACACTTTTCAAATTCAAGATAATGAGAAGGGGGTTTTTAATGTAATGCTTTGCTTTGTTCCAAAATGCATCTGTTCTACTTATTTTAAGGTGAACTTTACTAATTGGATCAATTCTACTTTTAAAAGCAGCATTTGAAATTGAGTTGAGTTTAAAGGCCTTACTTTGTAAAACAGAGGAGGGATAGTTGTTTATAACATAAGAGTTGGCATAAATAAAATTACGTTCTATTCCAGTATTTTCTAATAACTCAACTTGATTCTACATATTTGGTATACAGTATGCATTAAATATATTTATACAAATGTATACTAGTATATTAAGAGTATAAATTGGCATGGTAGTACGTTCCTATAATCTTAGCATTTAGAAGCTAAGACCAGCCTGGGCTGGCCAGACATGTCTCAAAAAAATGAAAAGAAAAGAAAGAGTAAGTCATTATAGAGATTTTAAGTCATTGCAGTGTAACTTCAAAGTAAATGCTTCTAAAAATATTCTGACCCTCAAATTCAACAAAATTTGTAGTTGAGTTATTGTCTATTTTAAGGGACATTTGTCCTCTCATTGTGCACTTAATTCATTATGTCATCCCCTATTTGGAAATTAATCTTTTTGAATTTTCATACTCATTAACTCCAATAGTAGCAGAATATTCCAGTAGCTATACTGATTGGTAATTCATAATTATTAAGTATAATCTGTAGACTATTTGATCTACTAAATCAAAAACTTGTGTTCCAACAAGATCCTTATGCAGTATTTATGCACACTGAATTTTGAGAAGGACTGATTTAATACAACTTACTAACTAGGTAATCCACTTGTAAGTGTTATTTTATATACCTCTTAAGCTGAGAAAAATCATTCATTAGCTGTGTGATCTATTCCTTTCGATGGGTATAAATATTTATTGATTTCATGACTAATTTATAATGAAAAGATCTTTACAAAAATTTAGGATATGTTTAGTTACAAAGGTATATCCCTTCATTGCTCCATAAATTTCTATGAGCAGCATGCAAAATACACCGTTATTCCTTAGTAAATATAAGTAAAAATTCCTCTGAACCTTGTCATATATGCAAATGAAAAATCTATGCTATAACACCACATAGTATACCAAGTTCAATAAAAAGGAATATAGTCATCTGTGTATGTAGCAGGTATATATGTAATAGGTTCTGGGATAAATTTGAAATAGTCATAATAACAGTTTGGTCTTCACTGAGAATTTACTAAAAGCTTGCTATCGGGTTAATATTGTTCTGTGGCTTTATAGATATAATAGAAGCTGAATACATTATATAGTTTTAGAAGCACTGGTGAGGTTTGCCAGTCACTGCTTGACCATCAGCATTTCTTTCAGAACCAAATTTGACGAATTGGAATATCTATCAGTTGTACTCTCCTACTACATTGGTGTGTGCTGTTTTCTATTCTGAATTAGTTTAACCTGTTTTTCTTTGTTTTGTTTTTGTTTTTGTTTTGTTTTTTTGCAAGTTGTACCCTGAGCTACATCCCCAACCCTGAAATTGTTTAGTTTAGATTTAAGTACATATTTTACCTACTTTGTCAGTTCTGTGAGTTCAAAGTTTTGTGGATATTTCTAATAAGTAATTGTCTATACTAATTATAACATCTGTGATAATTTTTTCTTAATCTGTTAGATTGAACCATATTGCCATTTTATAGATCAAAAATTTAAGGAACTCCCTGTCTCCTATTTCTGTCACTTAATAACCACTAAGTAATTATCGTGTTGTAACTTACTTTTGCTATATTTTTGTTTGGTTCATTCTTTCTTTTTCTAATAAAAGAAAGTATGCCTTTTAGGAAAACAGTGCCCTTACAGAGAAATTAATGACTTTAACAAACATAGGGCTTATAAAAATTAATGGTGACTTAATAATTTATAAGTATATTCTTTTTTTAATTATTCCATAGTATAAACAATTACAATAAGACTTTCCTTTAATCTGAAACTTTTTATCTCTGTGCAGATGCAGTTTGTTTCAGAGATCTTCTATTTCTTTCTCACAGTAGATGCTTTTAAATAGCTTAAAATATTTTAGGGAAAAAGTTAAATATATCAAACTCATTGAACAAACCCAATATAATTTTATAAGAACTAAAATGCAGTTCCTTATATTTTTGTTATTGCTGCTGACTCTTCACTATAAAATTTTAATAATTAAACCAAACTAGTTCCATTATTAATAACTAAGAACCAATTATTTTGACCTTTTGCCAGTGTTGCCAAGGTAAAATAAAATGAACTGCACAATTATGAGAGGAAATAGGTTCTACCTGTGAAGATGATTTTATTAAAAATCATTAAACTCAGCCAGGTGTGTGATACCACCTCTAGTTCCAGCATTGGGGAGGCTGAGGCAGGAGGATAGTAAGGCCAGCCTGGACCTGTCTTAAAAACAAAACAAAATCTGTTAACCTCATGTTAAGAATGCATACTTAACTTCATTTATATTTTTGGGTATTTTACATACAGTCACAGTCTTTCTTTACTAGCACTCCCAACAATAACTAAGGTTTGCTAAATTATATAGTTAGCAAATCAAAGGAAAGGGATAATGACAGTTCTCCAGGGGTGCATTTATTCACCTACTGGTGATTGAGAGTAACCTGTGAAAACTAGGGTAACCTGTGAAATCTAGGGTGAGTTTCCAGATCTTTGTCATTCTGGGCTGAAAGTTAATCATGTTAAGAAAGTAACTGGATTATAAAGCAAGCTGAGAGGCAAGGATGTGGGATGAGACCACCAATGTTGAAATTTCAACTTATTTTATACTAAGCCTGAAGTTCATATATCATAACAAGTAAATAACTCTTAAAATATATATAAACTGTGGAGCTTTCTTGCTTTTGCTATTGCAGAGAAAAATAATTTATTGTGAATTCGGTGTATGTTAAAACAACTTCTGTTACCACGTTTTGGGTGTTTTATATTATGTGTTATCAAGCTGTGTTTTTGTGTTTTATTTTAGCTTATTTGCACTAATCTTGATGAACTCAGGGAATTAATCACAAAAATCGAGAATGAACTCAAAGATCTGGAAAACAGTAGAAAAAAATCGGTAGGTGTTAATCCAAAAGTTCTATCTATTATTGTCAGCATTAAAATTTATTCCTGCTTTTTTTTAAAGCCTTTTAAAATCTTGTTCTCCTGGATTACATGAACATTTGCAATGAAAGATAGAAACGTTCTTGGTTTTTTTTTTTTTTTAATTTCTCCTGTGTGGTCTACTTTTCATTTTTAATAGACAAAAGTGGTGCCAGGGGCAAGAAAATTAATTTTGTTTGCCTGGTTTATATCAGGTTGTAGTTTTAGATATTTCCCAGTATACTGACTCTTTTCTAGCTAGTAGTTTTATCTTGCAAATATCCTTAACTACTAATTATATGCATTTAAGGGAAATTTATTATATAGCAACATAAAATTTTAATTAAGTGTAACATAAAACAAGATGTTAATTGCTTAATTGGGCCCCAAATGTTTTTATTCTTACCAATGTAATTTTTTAAAGAACCTTTATCAGCTGATAAATTTTTAAAATTAATTTTCACTATTCTAAATTCATAATGTTTACTTTTGTTTTCTAATTTTTTTACTCTTCTTGAGAGACTACAGTAAAGGGGATTATATTTGTTCTCTCAACCTGGTAAATTGCTTCATTTTATTTACCAAATGAATAACACCTGTTTCAGGGGCATTTCTAATAGAGTTATATCACAGATTTGATGCACAGTTTCCCACAAATAAATGGGAAAGGCTTCAAACATTGATGAAAATCAATCATTTTTAAAAACCCTTTGTCTTAAGTCTTAGAAATGTCAGGAAGCTACTTCTAGTTTTGCACTCAAAACCAGTTGATGTAAGTATGTATTAAATCTGATTAGTGATTCAGCAAGTTTGATATCAGTAGATTTATAGTAGTCTTTTTGTTAAAAAAAGAAGTGTCGTAAATACTCTGAAGGAAAGTGACTGAAACAATGTAGAAGTACAACCTTCAGAGGTTATTTAATACTAGAGTGAAAGAACGTTAAGCATTTCAAAAATCTCTCATGTAATAACCCTGAGAGTACTACTATAATGTATACTTTAGGTATCTGAACAGGCTCTCGATATGCAAGACTTAAATATTTATTAGTTTTTAAAAGTCAAGGTGTAATTTTACATTTTTTTGCAGAAGCTGTTTGTTTTTAATTAGGTGTCCATATTTCATGACTGAACAGAATTCTTTTAAATAATTTTGCCATATCTTTGTGCTACAGTTAGATGTAACTAATTTGTTCCCATATTATAAATTAGAGTTTTTATTTCTGATGCATAATTTTAATAATAGTTTATATAAATACAGCATGTATAATAGGAGAAAAAGACTTTTGTAGGCACTCTAGAGTTTTTCTGTAAAGCCATCCATCACTTCCATTGGTGAAGTGGAAGTGAGAGATAAGCATTTCACTTTCCTTTGTAGGATAAAACAGAATAAAATAAGAGGAAGCAAACTATAAACACTTGATGGCATGTTTATTAGAAAATTTTAGATTATGTATATAGGGTTAATTTTTTATTTGTTTTTTCCATACTGGGATTTGAACTCAAGACCTCACACTTGCTAGACAAGTGCTCTACCACCTGAGCCATAACTTTAGCCTATGTATAGGGTTTAATTTATGACATTTTGTGCCTCCAAACTTAATTTGTCCTTGCCCATGGTTTTAGATATAATTTTCATACTAGTTTTAGGTATGTTTTCTACTCTTCAAGAAATAGAAGTCCTTGGAATTGAATTTAGCAGGGATAATCTTACTGAGGTTATCAAGGTATGGACTTTTCCCCCTTGATTTAAGCTGCATAAACGATTTATGTGAGCAGATTATCTCAACCAGTGCAACGGCCACACAGCATAAAGCAAGTAGCCCAAAGTTCACATCTCAGTATTATTCACTATTTTTTACTCAATCTAATAGTAAATGTGGAAGATGCTAGCTATAGGAATTAACTTTATTGAAATTTTATATTAATATTTGATACCACTTTGTTTGGCATCATTTGGAAATAAGGTATTCCACTTAACTGAATTTTCTAAATAACTGAAACGTAAACCTTTACTAAAATCCTTATTTTAATCATTTAATGGAGAACTTCTCTGCCTTCTTGTATTTATAGTTTTGCTTTTGTTCTGTCTATTTCTTCATTGCCAGGCTGTCTGTCATTTGTCATCTCTCATGTGTGTCCATATATTTGCCCTAGCTCATATACCATGGATTAAGAAAGCAGGTAACAGTATTTCTTAGAATTGGACTCATGGTGAGAACCTGAGGACTTTCTCAATTAAATGTGTGAAGTAGGTGATAGTGGTACCTGTTTTGACTTATTCCTAGTTCTGTGGGCTTCCTTCACTATTGTTAGATAAATGAAGTAAAGTATTACTATTACTCTTCAGAAGAGGAAATCTCTTACCAAAACAGTGTTTAGAGTTAAAACAATTCTGTTATTTATTATCAACCTTCATATCCATAATAATGACATCAATAACAAAGAAAATATATTACAAGTATTTGTTTATCATAAATATCATTACTGAGAGTAAGCTAGAAATTATGTAATTCAATATGGATTTAGATAAATACCTACTTACTGCAGGGGGCTTCTTTACAGGACCTTTCCAAATAGTTTTTCCTACAAAAGCAACAAGGAAGAATGGTCCCATTTTTCTCACCCATGTCAACATTCCATTTAAAAATTTGTTTATGTTTTTAATTAACAGACTTTATATTTTAGAGCAGTTTTTTATGTTTACATTAAAAAGCTTTTAAACCTCTCAGGTTTTGCCACTGAACTGTTTATTGCAATGGGAGATGCAGTCTTTTTTTTTTTTTTTTGTGGTACTGGGGTTTGAACTCAGGGCCTACACCTTGAGCCACTCCACCAGTCCTTTTTCTGTGATGGGTTTTTTCAAGATAGGGTCTCGAGAACTGTTTGCCTGGGTTGGCTTTGAACCTTGATCCTCCTGATCTCTGAGTAGCTAGGATTACAGACATGAGCCACCAGTGCCCAGCTAGATGTGGTCTTTTAAAAATCTAAATTGTTTACTCATTCTTGTAAATAACTAGTTCCATTTCCATTTATGGTTAATAATGTGAAGAGAAAAAATAATTTGCTTGAGTTTACTTAGTCCACTTGATCCCATCACTTCATTTAGGAGTGACTTATATCATTTGTATCCTGCAGTGTTATACTTAATTATCTACATGAGGTTTGTCTGAAGTGACATCTCTGGTTGAGATAGAAATGTATAGTTTGACAGAGATCTTTAATTTTGTTTTTTCTCATCATTATTTAGATTATAGGAGTTTTTAGTGATCTAAAGAAAAAAAACACATTTTTATTGTTTCAATTTTTTGTGATTTTAGTTGAGATAAAATTTGCGTTTTACATAATTATATGGAAATATCCTTTCTAACCTAAGAAATTTATTAGTTTTTTAGAAAGATAGAGCATTAAGATAATTGAGAAATTTCCTTAATCCTATTATATTTGAAATTTGTTAAATGTTTTCTAAATAGAAAAATTGGAAAATTTTGAAAAGCTTGTATTTCTTTGTTTTGCATGTGGGCCTGTTTTTCATCATATCTGCCTAATTTATGCTTCATATCATAGTTTATTTTCTCTCTTTTTGGCAGTACTGGGGCTTGCATTCAGGACCTACACCTTGAGCCACTCCACCAGCCCTTTTTTGTGATGGGTTTTTTCAAGATAGGATCTCACAAACTATTTGCCTGAACTGGCTTCAAACTGGGATCCACCTGATACCTGCCTCCTGAGTAGCTAGGATTACAGATGTGAGCCACTGGTGCCTGTCATAGTTTATATTTTCAAAGAGGTTTCAGTCTTCTTTTCTTCAGTAAGGAAATATCTGATAGAGATTAGGTATAAGGAAAAGTAAAATTTGACAACAAAACTATTACTTATAAGAAAAGAAGCCATGTCTGAATTATATAATGATAAATGAAAGTCTTATCATAGATAAAATAAAATTTTAAATACAAGGCCACAATTTCTTTAACATTTAAGAGCCTCAACATCAAGCACTATTTATGACAGATTTTTATTATTTTTAAATTATGTAAGGCAAAGCTATAAAACTGCCTGTGCTCTTTGGTACTGTGGTGCTGCTTAGGAGTTCACTTTTTTTCTCCCCATTCCCTGCCCCCCATAAAACACACACAAACACACACAAACACACACACACACACAGTTAATTTACAAAAGTAAATTTGCACAATGGTGTGTCTAGCAAACTGCCTCTTAATAGTGGAAATTTTGAAATAGCCCATATGTAGGGAGATGACTAACCAAACTATAATATTGATACAATAGTGTATTACATAGCTGAGAAAGTAAAATATTGGTGGGTCATTGTTACCACATGAAATATTTGTGAAATGTTAAATTTTAAGAAGATACAAAATAATATAATTGCAATATGTAAAAGGTATGTTAAAAAATTATAAAGAAATTTCAAATGATAAATTTTATTATACTCTTAATGTAATTTAAGTTTATTATACAGTAAACATCAGAGAAATAAGGTTAGATCAGAGATATTACCATCTGAGTTACCACAGAGTTCTGTGTAACCAGTGCTTATTAACTAGAGATGATCTTATTGAATTCTCTCTACTGTTTTCTCCTTGGAGACTTTTGGCAATGCCTGAAAGCATTTTGTTGTTGTTGTTGTCTTAATTGAAGAATCAATACTGGCATTTAATGGGTAGAGACCAGTGATACTGTTGAACATCCTACCTTGTAGTATTCGTACAATGTACATGACATTCCACCATGACAAAAAAATCATCTGGCCCCAAGTGTCAGTTGTTCTGAGGTTTCAAAACCTGGTATAATTCCTTATTTGCTAAGGAACCTGTTCTTTCATTCTGTCTGCTGCTGGCAGCTTCTTATGGGAAGAAAATAGTTGATGTTTGGAACTTAGATGAAATCACTAAAATAATACCACATGTATAGTAAGAGCTTTCCATTACATCATATACTTCCAATTCAGACTTTTAT